GCGGACGTAGCTCCGAAGGCGGGTTTTGCGCCTTGCGCCGTAGGGATCCTAACTGCAGAGCTCGCAGGGAGGGTGGTGCCCGTCCTTACTGCTGCACCCAACTCCTAGATTCTACGAGATCCCTCGAGAATCTCCGCGATCTTCCGAATTCACTCTGTTTTGATGCATTGAAGGCTATTTACATTGCTGCCAGGGTACAGTTTTCCAAAAATGTTTTAATTTCCTCAAAATTACCAAAAGTGGGGTACCACAGTCTCGAAGGAGGAAGAAGCTTCCTTCGGGGCGCTGTTCAAGCATAGCAAGTCGAGCAAGAACAGGTACAAGACCCGTGACTACAAGGATCGCTTCCGGAGAAATGTCGCGGTAGCACTCATTCAACTCTTGCAGCCGCTCCGGACAACCTACATAACTTCTTGGCAGGTGGGGTTCGTAGAGCTGGCGTTGTCCAGAGCTCCGATTCATTGGGCTCACATTCTGTGGAAGGCGACGCGACAACATGCATTCGAGTAGAAGGGAGGGTCGATCAATCACCTCTCCCCCTTCTTGATCAATTTCTATCGGTCGATGGGATGTCTGACCGCGACGGAGCGGGTACAATTTCCATTGTTGTCACGCAGCAATCCGGGCCGATATGTGCAGGACGTGGAAGTCGATACTGACGAAGATGAGACACCCGCCTGCACGCCACCAGCTCAACCGAGGGCGGAGTAAGAACCGCTCGCAGCACGAGTGCTGCGGAAGCAGAAGTGGGAAGGAGAAGCGGAGCAGACGCGATGCTACTGCTCCCAATCGAAAGCGGCCGATGACGGAGATCTGCAGTCGATCCAAGCAGAAGGCTCGCAGGCTCGTCTTGCCGGCAAGCAGCGCAGACACGGCAAGAGCTGCGGAAAGGAAAAACTCGCCATCCTAGCGGGAGGATGCGAATGCACGAACTGCGGAGAGGTCAGCGGATCTCCCTGCACCGAAGGCACGGACGCCTTTGGCGGAAGCAAGAAGGCCTTCGGGTCAAGGAAAACAACATGCGGCATTGATGAATGTGCCGACGACGGACAGGTGCTTCGCTTGCGAGCAAGTATTATTTGAAGACTCGATTTCGGGCAAAGAGCCTTCGGCTCAAGCGCCTTCGGCGCAGTAGAGGAGTGAGGTGGAGCCTTCGGCTCAACAGACTTCGGGTTAAGCGCCTTTGGCGTAGGCCCAATGTGAGGGAACGGCGACAGACGAAGTACGGAAGGAGGAGACACGTGTGCCTTCGGCACAGTCGCCTTTGGCGGTAGCAGATCAAACAGGAGTAGCGGACTTGTCGGGAGCCGGGTCTCCCATCGCCTTAGACATTTTGGCAGGGAGTGGAGCGTCGGCCGCAGCAGCAAAAGTCACGCAATGCAACTGTCGGGAGTCGCCGGGAAATTCTGTAGCAACCGAGATCCTCAATTCGGAGGATGACGAGGATGAGTTGAGCTCGGAGGAGCAAGAAGAGAAGTCGGTGCAAGGCACGCCGACACGAGTCTTGTGCGAGTAGGTGGTACCCCTGCTGAGGTACCTTGATCGCAAGGTGGCGAAATATGGTGATCTCCGCCATCGGAGGTCCTACGTTGAAGTGGTGCGCAAACGGACACGGACGCCGGTCAGGACAAGTAGTTTGTTGGCTTCCTTGGACGAAACAATCAAGGATTTGCGGTTGAAGAACGAGGCCCTGCGTGGACACCTCGCCATTTGCTGAAGTTGCAGAAGGTGGTCAACAAGACGTGTGATGAGAAGTTGGACGAAGCGGAGAAGGAATTTGCGAAGCAGCGGGAGAAGCTCGCGGAGGATCTCGATTTTGAGCAAGCTCATAATCGCATCTTGTCAGAGGAGCTCGTGCGACAGACACGGTTACTAGAGCAGTGTTAGAGCGCACGTCAAGCCGATGAAGAGTTAATTCGTCACCTGCAATCGCAGTGCGGCGAATTGAGAGCGTAGCGTGCAGAGTGAGAGTTGCAGCTGGTAGAGATTGAAGGCGATTGCCGGCGCGCGACAAATCGCACACGGAAGGAGTTGGCAGAGCGAGTGAACCGCTGCGTCAGAGGTTACACTCATTGGGAAGTGGCTGCGTTGGAGAGAATCACACTGCGCTGGGTAGAGATTCGTGCGGTGGAATTGATGTCGGGTGACAGTCGGAGCCGACGGCGGGTCGCAAAGAGGTTAGACGCTTTTCTTACGAGGTCGCGAGATGCCATTGCGAACGTCGAGGCAGAGGTGACCGAGGTGCTTCGGCGGCTGGGGTTGCGTAGCAAAGCCGACGACTGGTCGGGTAGGGAGTTAGTGCGCGGTAGTCCGTCGCGCAAGAGACATAGCAGATGACATGGAGTGTAGTGTAGTGTAGGGTGCTAGGTAGTTAGGACTTAGAAGGTATAAAGTAGTTCAAGGCGTCTTGCCTTGGGATTCTTCCAGTTTCGGAGGTGCAGATCAAGAACGCATTTTCTGTGCGCGTTTGTGTACTTAATTCTGTCACCGCGCAATAGGATCTACAGCTTGACGAAGATACCGCATTTTGTAGTTGAAGGCCTTCGGCCGAATACTCAGAGCTAGTGTGTTGGTTAGATACTTGAGCAATTCGGACCTACACCTGCGGGTGATTGATGAATGCTTAGAGCTAGCGGACTGGTTAGATACTTGAGTAGTTTGGTCTTACACCTTCGGGTGATTGTTCTTGTTTGTACTCCTTCGGGATTTTTCCCCTGAAAGCCAAAGTGAAGTTTTGTTACTTCGAGTAAGCCTTGGTTGTAAATTCAGGTTACGCTGTAGAAGACGTCCTTGGGGCTAACCTCCGTAGTATTTATGGGAATGACTAGTGCTTGAGAATTCAAACTCGTCAATAGACTGTCATGGTGTGACATTGGATCTTTTCTCAGTTGAGTTTCTCACTTCGAACCTGTATTCTCCGCGCGTTTTGTGAGTTCAGTGTGTTATTCACCGCGTGTGAGTGACTTCGGTTTGACGAAGGTACCGCATCCGAAGTAGGAAATCCAACCCGGGTGCTCTGTTCTAGCAGTCAGAGTTAACAATCCGGAGTTGGGGAACACTACCTGCAGATCCTCTGAATGTACTCGTGAGAAACTTCCCCCTGAATCTTAAGTAGAGGTCCTAACCGACCTTTGAGTTGTGCTTTTGCAGTTTCAGGTGTGTGTTGAGGTGAACTACACTGCACTGTGCGTCTTCCAAGTGACCTCCGAGTTGAGCACTTGCAGTATTTCTGGGAGTGACAATCGCCTGAGAATTCAAACTCTTCAATAGTCTGTTAAACGTGACACTTTGTACTTTGTGTGTTGCCTTTATCACTATGGATTCGACCTTTTTGTTGCTATACTGAAGTTTTAGCCTTTGGTGGGTTATTACATCTTTCTACTCGAAATAACCCCAGATAGTACTGGAACATCACTAACGGTGGAACTGTAGTGACGTGGATGTGATCCATAGGGTAAAATGAAAACTGATGGGTACCATCAAGACTTTTGAATTTCCCGGTATCACATCAAGCAAATTTTTCATATATATATAAGATTATATAAATAATTATTTGAAATAATTATTTTACTACAGTCAATGCTATGTGTATAACAATTGAAATATCCTGCCTAACATAGATAAGTGCTAAGATTACTTTAATCATGAGATCATAACCATAACATGTATAGTGCCATGCCCGATCATGAAGTTGGTGACTAGAATAACATTTCGCAATATAAATATTCATGCCGTTGAGACCGGAGCGAAAGCAAGTTGACTTGTTTGTCCTCCCCAGTTTCTTGCACTGTTCTGTTTTCTTTTCTCCAAGCGGTCGTCTCTTCTCCCCTCTCTGGTGTAGCTCTGTTGACTCTGATTTCTTTGTGATTGGTCCATGTGAGCATCTCCCGCCTCCTCATATCGTGCAGTGTTTCCAATTATATACTACTCCATGTCGAAGTCTAGACTGCGAGATGGTATGAAGCTGATTTCCGAGTGGTATCCTGAACGCAGACTGTTGAAGCTTCCTCGCCTCATGATAATTGACTCTTAGTTCTGCACAATGCAAGTCTGCAATCTATCCAGAGTGATGTGAGTGGAATTCCATGGCCTCTTCAGAGTCTCCGTATGCGAAGGGGAGAGAAAATAATTTCAGGGAGTTGGTACGAAGACTGGAGCATAGTATTGCGCGGGACAATTCAGTGGAATACGAGAATGTAGTCAGGATGTGCGTAGAGCAAGTGCAGGGCATTCGTTCGATCAAGCAGTTATCTGGGCTCCAGAGCAGAGAAGCTGAAACCTTGCTGGACGTACTGAGAAGGGCTGATGCATCGAAGCTGCGGGAGTTGGATCTTTCCAAAACCTTGATTACAGGTTCTGTCGTGCAAATTCTAAGTGACGTTCTCAGCACAACACGCTTCGCAGCGTTAGAGGTTTTGAATTTGTCGGAAAATCTCCACTGTCAGATGGACATGACGTCTAGTGCAGCCTTGGCAGAAGTTTTAGCAAGTGGTTGCTTGCCACACCTCAGGGTTCTGTGCCTTCCACCCTGCCACGTTCCCACAATTGCCGCGGCTATTCTCAGAGGAAACATTTCGAGATTGGAAGAATTGCGTATGGAATTCTACAGGAAGCTGATGCAGAGTTCTTCCGAGCTGAAGAACTTCTTCGAAGAGGGACCGCTTTCGGCACTCAGAATCCTCGGTCTCAGAGACTGTATTTCAACAGAGGATCAGATCGAGCAATTCATGAGGAGAGTGAAGTCAGGGGAGCTCATGAAGCTGGAGTGACTGGACTTTTCAAAAAACTTTCTCAACTACAAGGGCTGTAAATTCCTGGCCAGAGCAATCCGGAGTGGTCAACTACGTCAACTGAGGCACTTAGATCTGGGCTGGTGCAACCTCGGAGACAGTGAGGTGCAGCAGATCCTCGACGCGATCGACCAGACGCCTCTGCTAGAGACTCTCTAGCTTGAAAGCAACTCATTTACAGACATCGCGACTGCGTCTCTAGCTCAAGCCATGAAAAATCGGAAACTTGTCAACATCCAAAAAATTCGCGTGGACGGGAGAAATAAGATATCGAATCAGGGCATTGTCGCTTTGTCCACAGTCCTGTCGGATCCCACATGCGTACCGAAACTTGGCACGCTGGATTTAGGTGAAGACAAAACCCTTGATTTGATAGGAGCGAAAGCTCTTAGGGACGCATACAGACAGAATCCAAATTTGACGGTGTTTGTGAATGTATCTTGGCACGACGAATCCTTAAAAATACAAATGGAGGAGCAGAGACTGCACAACATGCGCGGAGAGGAGTTAAAACTGGAGGACGAGGAGCAAGTAGTTCCGCGCATGGCCAAAGTATTCTTATGTGGATATGAGAAGGTGGGAAAAACCACACTGAGGAGATCGATGGAGAGAAACCTTCTGAAGTCCTTCATCACGTGGGAACGCAGGCCTAAGTTTCATGAGGAGCCGCGCACCCGAGGAATAGAGTTGTCTGAGGCTTCTGGTGAAGCTGGAACCGCGGAAGAAGAGCTGACACTTATTCTGTGGGAGTTAGCTGGCCAGCAAGAGTTCCATGTGATGCACGGGGCCTTACTCTCAGACCTCGGACTGGCATCCGGCAAGGCTACAACTTTCGTGCTGGTCTTTCGTGCTGATTTAGTAAAGCTGCCAGAAGCTGCAAAGAGTGAACGTGAGCTGCGCTACTGGCTCAGATTCATCGCGGCCGGGTCTGCGAAGGGGATCAAGCGCCACTTGGTCTTAGCTCTGAACTGCATAAATTCTCGAATCCATGGCGGTGTTGAAGCTGAAGATTTCAACCGTCAGAAGACTTTCTGGGGCAGTCTTCTGAAAGATGTAGGCAAAGCGTTCTCTGATTCGCTCGACATCCACTCGGAGCCTATTGTAGTCGATGCAAGATCGAGAAGGTCTGTCCAGAAGCTGAAGCAGCACCTGCTTTCCAAAGTCGAAAATGCTCTCAAAGATGTCAAGATACCCAAAGTATGCTTGGAAATTCATGAGTTTCTGCTCGACTGGAAGAGTAAGCATAGCAACTTCCCTGTCCTCAACTGGACATTGTTCAGCCAGATGATGGAGAAACGAGGTATCAAAGCCGACAAATTAGACGCGGCCACTGCTCACTTGCAAGAGTCAGGGTGCATCATCTACTACAGGAATTCTCCGGTTGGGAAGGAGACCGATAGATTTGTCGTCGCAGATCCGGAATGGTTCGCCAATAAAGTCATCGGCGAAATCCTCCTACCTGAGCAAATGCTAGCAGCTAAGCAGTCGTCCCTATCCCAAATCGTGGGACGCGACGGATCTCTCAAACGCTCTATTCTCAACAGCCACTTCCAAGCAAAAACCGATGATCTAATTGGCATGCTCGCCAAGCTGGGGTTGTGCTACTATGTGGGAGAGGAGAGATTTTTGATGCTGGGGTCGTGCCTCGATGGGGAAAGAGTTTTCATCCCGGCTCTGATCCGAGAGGACAATCTGAGCAAGTGGGAGAGGGAGGGAGTGCAGTGGGTCATGGGGCGATCTCTCCAGCCCAGAGAGGAGGACAAGGGCTTCATTCCCTTGTTCGTGTTCAGGAAGCTGCAAGTCCTTCTGGCTCAGGACAAGAAATTCGGGCTCCAATTTCACAGCGACTACTGCGCCGGCAAGACGTTCTCGTTCTTCAAGGTCGGATCTCAGATGGTTCTCGTGCAGTTCGATGTCGATGAATCCGACCCAGGGGACGATCGGATCGATGTGTTCGTCAAGCGCATGGTCAAGCAGGTCGATTTCGTCAATGGGGTCGAAGTCGAGGACCACTCGTACCACACGGACCTCGATCTTGTTATCGAGATTATGAACCTGGTCGAGGGCCTGTGCGTCCAGACCTGCCCCAGCGTGGAACTGGAACGGAAGGCCATCGGGCCCTGGCGTGCCGACCGTGAAACAGTCCCCATGGCCTACAGGAAGCTGATCCCTGTGGACGAGCTGAAGATGCACGTTCGCAAGCATGGGCTGCACAGTTCCACCACCATGACGGTCGAAACAGTTGGATTGCAGAGTGGTCAGCTATTGTCCGCGTCCGAGCTCGAGGCCATCCACTCCAGTGTGAAGGAGAGCATTCTGATTGCCCAGTCCGACATCAAGAAATTCGATCTGCTGCCCCCGAGCTCGCTGCCGGTGGCAGATGAGACGGAAGAGGCCCTCAAGCAGGACGAGACTCAGGGCGATACGGAAAAAATCATTTTCGTGATTCGGGAGGAGGGCCACCGAATGAGAGAGCACATCGACCGAAAATGTGAGGAGCTGCAGAAGAAGTTCGACAAGGCGTTCGAGTGCCAGAAGAAGCTTCTGAACCAGATCCTGGCTTTGAATCGCTACTCCATCGAGGAGAAAGAGAACTGTTATCCTAGGTACATCTTCCTCGCCAAGGAAGACGATTCCCGCTTCTACCTCTCGGCCCGACAGGCATTTCACGAACGCTTCCGAATGCATCTGCTCTGCGAGTGCGACTACAGTGACGGAGTTCCTCACCATGTCGAGAAGCAAGAAGGTCTCCAGATTAAGAACATGAGAGAATGGCTGCGTAAAGTTGAACCATGCCTCTCTTGGACCTTAAAAGTGACCCTCATCACGGCTAAAATCGTCGGTAATATTGTCAGTCCAGGACTCGGTTTGCTCCTTCCCAAGTGGGAAGGTGGTGACACCTCGAAAATGGCAGATGGGGTCGAGTGGGTGGCCAAGGGAGCGCAGGACTCTACATCGCAGTCATTTGCCGAGGGAGCGCAGGAAACTTTATCGCAAGTCAGTCTTGACAGTCTTGGTCCCAGGGAATCTGTGAAAGAACTTTCAGCAACGCTGGTGATGGACAGTATAAGAGAATTGGGATCCGCTGTGTTCTATGAGAAAATAAAATTGAGACGTGTAGAGTTGTCATCATCGAAGGAATCAGATCCGTATTCTAAAACTGTCGTGTGGATGTGCGATGAATGCTTTAACTGTTACCAACCTACTGGTCGCGTCAGAGACATCACAAATTACTTTGAAAGGGTAAAGCCGTCTGCTTCTGTCTGGCTTTAGATTTTGTCCTTTCACATTGTATGTCTCTGGACATACAATGTGAAAATCAAAATCAAGTGTCAGTGACAGCCCAAAAGATCAAAATTGGGCTTCCCGAAGCGTCATAGCTGTTGCAGTGGATCTGCACGGAATTTGGTTTTCGGCATGTAGCTTTAACAGATCTATGCAATCATATTGAATAGGATCCTGCTCTTCAACAGCGCAGCAAAGGATCATCGCTCTTGCTCTGAATATGTACATAATAAACTTCCAATGACTTATTATTCAGCAGGTCTAAGTCATCTCATTGATGTTTTGAGTTCTGCACTTCGATACATAACTTGATGATTTCATGTACTTCGGGCTCGATCGATACTAACTTGTAAAACATCCTGAGTATTATTGTTCAATCTAGCTCATCACGTCAATTGCAGGGATCTGTAGTATAATTTTGACGAGCAGAGCAGAGTTCTGGAATACTAGATAAAACACTGCAGCTTCAACAGATTCAGCTTCATGTATTCCAGCTTCCTGATAAGCTCACTTTTAGGGACTCTACACAACTTTTGATCTGATTGTTCTTCTCATATCGGAACCACATCATTATCCAGTCTGTGTATGCCGTCAAGGCAAGAATGTAAAAGAGGCACAGAAAATATTTTCAACTATTCCATCGGACTCCACTGCTAGCTTTACGAGAAAATGTACAGAGACTAGATATCGAGCCGGCTTGAATAGTTTAGACTCCGTCTCAAGGTACTGAGCTGCAGCATAGCAGACCGGAATTTGTAACCGAAGTGAATTCTAGAGCCGTTTCTTTTCCTTAGAAACGGGGATATGAAGACCTCGATCAATACAAGCTCTACAGCCAATATAAAACTTGTAAGTTCGAACAACCTTTCATTAAATCGCGGAAATTCGAGCCACGGAGCCAAGATGGTTTGTTAGCCTTCTCCAGATACACTTCATCACATCTTTATTCAGCGGTCGAAGGCACACTCACTATAAAAGTCAAGGTTGCTTCTGGTGGTACCCAACAAGTGCTCACAAGAACAGAGTGTTCAGAAAGGTGAAACCATGCTCAAGCATCCTTTGGACAGATCATGTCTAAAGTTCCCCACGAGAATTAAAGAGAGCAGGTTCATAGGATCAAGAACAAAGAAATTGTCGGGACAAAACGAGGTGAGAGCCCTGTCTTGTCAGTAGACAACTAGCTGTGTACAGATGCACAGAACGGAGTGTCAGAAAATCATTATCAAGGTAATCTGCCTCACAATCAATTATCTGTTGTACTATCAGCAAGATTATATATTTTCATGTGACGACCCATATCTTCTCCTCCTAATGATCGCACATTCACTCTTTCGTCCGAAAGGAGGATATACTGTTTCTGAACTTTCAATCATAAAGATAGATTTGTTCCGCTCATTGGACTCGTTTCCTCGGGTAGTGGAATTCGTCCAATTACCATCGTCATACAGTGAACGATATGCTCTGTCAGCAGTTTGCCAATCCAGGATCGGCACGACTACCAATGCATGAGATTGCAAATACAAGATAGAATATGAAGGTGTTAGAGTGAGAAAAGGGGAGATGTACCTTGACACATTCCTGGAAAAAACATAATATATAGTCTGACGAAGATAACATTCGTGGTCTATCAAGATATGTCCTGTGATTCGGGACGAAGTCGTTGATTTTATCCGTGGTGGACTCAACCTCGGCCGATGCTAAAAAGTAAGACTCAAAGTTCTCAATTATAAAGAGCTTAGACACAAAAGTAAACGCGCAAGACATTGAAATTGCCAACGAATCTTACTGCCAAAGTCAAACTTCTGAAAAGGGAAAAACTCATGATGGAATCAACGCGGTCGTTAAGATAACGCCATACGTTGCGTCGATTACACCGAATGCAGTTATCTTACTGCATTAGGTGTAATCGAAGCAATATAGAGACAGAGCCGAAAATAATATATTCAAACTTAGGCGCAGCCTGAGAACGGTGTAACGTCGTCACGACTTATATTTTTATAATAGCGTGACAACAAACATACTTCTGTACTAGTGTGCAAAATAGTGCAGACGAGATTGGTCGGATGTGTTGGGTATATATATATATATATCCTAATGCTTTCGCATACTAGTTTCTTGTGTGTAATCTTCCATGTACTTATCCCTTGAGGGTGAATCATGTTGTACACCGGTGGTTCTCTTGTTGTTAGGTTGGCTTGCATGAATCACTAAGTTTTTCGCTTCTCCGTACAAATGGTATTAGAGCAAGTTTTCGGTTCGGAGTTAGGTCGGAAATTCACAGTCTAGTTGTTTCGGCTTTAAATTTCTGACAGTTCTGTTTTGTCATTATTTATAGTTTTTTTTTAGTTTTTTTGTCAATGATAGAGTTTTGCCAAAAATCACGATTTAGATGAAAGTTTTGAGAAGTGAAAAACTCGTGGAGTTTCTAACAAGTTTATGATGAGTGAGAGTTTTTGTCACAAAAGTTTGTGACAGTTTTCTAAAGTGTGACAAGTTTGGAATTTTGGAAGTCATGACGATTTTCTGATGCGTGATGGTTTCTGACTACTGACAAATATTTTTTTGTGGATGATGTTTGTGAAAGTATTTTTCTCGTTCAGGAGATTGCAAAACTAAAAGTGGTTTTTTTAGAAGCTATGATTTTTCCAAAAGTTGTGGCTTGTGACAGGTTGTTTTCCGTCGGTGACGGTTTTCATCATGGACAAAGTTTGGAATCTTGCAAGAACTCACGGCCAAATTGTATCAAAAAAATTGATAGCAACCGCAGCCACCATTAGTCTTGAGGGAGAGAAGAGACGAGACAGAAAGCAAAGACGAGAGCGCTGTATTTTGCCTGAAGTCGTTGCGCGCCGAGAGACATTCGGGTCGTACAACCCTCGCTAGTACGACGGATGTTTTGCAGCCAGGGAAGATTTTTCAGAAAGGAATCTTCTTTGCAATCAGACAGTGGCTCTGCTCGCGTAGCTGTGCTCGGCCTGTCTTGGCAAAGATGAGGAGATATTGATTAAGCCCTGTCCTGCAAAGGAGAGGCCTAGGTTTTTGTCGGAAGAGTAAGGGTTTTACCTTGCTTCAGCCGCTGCTCGGCCAAAGTGGAGTGACCACCCCTCCCGTAGGTTGACATCCGGGTCAGACGCGTGGTCCGCGCAGGTCACGGCGCGTGGTGTCGTAGCGTGAACGGCGCGCTAGTCTGAGGAGAGAGAGAAAACATCGCGTGATTGTGGCTCGGCTTTCCCCAACCTCAGATTTGTGTCAGAATTTTGAGCAATATTTGTCGGTTTTGATCAATCTCATCCCAAGAAGTTAGAATTAAGTTTTTGTTGAAGGATTTTGCATGAGGAGACAATGTGCACATAATTCTCATAGTTTTGCAAACCCTAGATACTCTAAAGCGTAAGTGGTTGGCGTGTACGCATTTGGATATCAAATTCAAATGTTTGATGGGAAAGTACTAACATTGACGAATGTTAAACACATTCCTAGGTATGCGTGAGAATTTAAATTCACTCGGGGAGATTGACATGAGAGGTTTTCAGTAGATATCTTTCTCTAGGTTGAGAAAGTTTCCAACATGATAATGAAACCTCACAAGCGGAAGAATCTTTAACTTAGAGGAATCTATAATTCTTGGTGAGGTCAATGGTACGAAATCATTAGAGGATTAGACTAGATTGTGACATGCTCGTCTTGGCCACATGAATGAAAAAAATATGAACATTTTACACAAACAAGTTTTTTACCTAGCTCAAGTTATTGCAAGCTTGAATTCTGTGTGTACTATGTATTTGGATAGCACATGTGACATGCTTTTGGAACTGGCATTCATAATTCTAAGACAATTCTTGAGTATATTCATTTTGATATGTATGGCCTTTCCCCGGTTGCCTCACACTATGGATTGAGTACTATATTACGTTTATTGATGACTATTCAAGATAAGTGTGGATCTACTTTCTTCCACGCAAGTCTAATGTCTTTGTCACTTTTAAGATGGGGAAAGTCCAAAAAGAGATTCAAACAAGACATAATGTGAAGTTCTTGCGATTGGATAACAGCGGGGAGTACCTTTTCTAAGAGTTTAGCACGTTTTGTGAAAACAAGAGTGTAACCCGCCATTTCACAAATGTTCATTCTCCACTGCAAAATGGCGTGTCAGAAAGTCTCAATCAAACGTTGTTGGATAGAACATGGAGTGTGTTGAGTCATGCTCGTTTATCATAAATTTTTTGGGCTGAAGCCATTAATGTTGCGGCTTATTTGGAAATACTATTACCTTGTAATGCAACAAGTTACAAGTCCCTTGAGGTCAACAATAAGTTTCTTGAAGATATTTCGGTTCGGCTCTTTTGGGTTCCACCTTTCATCTTCTTAGCAAACCCCAAAGGTTTTGGCAAACCCTAAACCCTAAACATCTCTTTCTTTATTTCTTCGTTTATTATCCTTGTCCATGTGTGATGTCGTACATGGCTCACGAGCCATACACATGGGATTGCATACCTTCTTGATCGATCCTTGCAGTCATGTGTCACGTCTCATCTCAAGGTATGTCTTTGGTGAAGCACATGAAAATGCCATGTGAACATTGGTGTAGTTGGGTTGGCTGCGGGCATAAAACGCCCCCGCTTCTTGCCATTGGGGCATCTATCCCATTGATTCCTATGGCTTCATTGGGGAGGCGACTTCCAGAATTGAGAAAGTCTATACTATCAAAGACATTTTTGAGAGAGTTTATGCTATCACAGTTCTAACTCCACCACATTTTCATGTTCCGGCACAATTTTAGCCCCGACTGACGAATTTTCTTAACGTCGATGAGGTACACAGCTAACGCATTGTCTTCAATGCGGTCGACGCACATATACACAAAGTCTGGCACGTTTGTGAAGCCGAGCATTGTCCAACAAACACTTGCCAGACAACACGGCCTAGTCTTCGACTCTCTCATAGCACAGAGAGGTTGTCTCGAGGAGGTGTGCCAAGTACAAAAAGAG